AAGCTTAAAAGCTTAACAAAAGAAAAAGAATTAACTTCTAAAAACAATCTATTATGTTTAAAAATGACAAAATGCTCACATTGTCATTATCATGGTCATTTGAAACATACTTGGCCTTTGAAGAAAGGAAAACATTTTAAAATTAGGCAAGTATGGGTTCCGAAAGGAACAAGGGGCATTGAAACTAACGTCCAAGGATCCAAAGCAATTTGGATACCAAAATCTACTTAAATGTCTCTTGTAGGTGTGTGTGAGCAATGGTGATGAAAGTGATGATATTCAAGATGCTCTAGCCACACATGAAAAAGGAATGAGTAACCTCTAAGCTTAATGCTTTTAATTTTGGTTATTTGGTTGCTCATTTGATTTTAAGCATGCATGAGTTTTGGTTTTAAATGATTATACATCATTGTTTTTAATCTCATGTATGTTAAAAAGATGATTATGTTGAACATTTTAAAGTTATATTAATTTTTAAGATTTTTTAGTTCATCATAATAAAATTTTGGTCAAAATTGGTTTTAATGCAAATGATATCTCTCTAACAATTGATATCAACTTTTCAAATACTTTGATTTTATAAATCTTTAAAATTTTTGACCTAAATTTGAATGTTTATGCATGTGGTTTAAATGAAAATGATATCTTTCTAACAATTGATATCAAAATTTTCAAATGCATAACATTTTTAGAAAAACTTTATGCATATACTCTTAATTTTAACAATCGATATCAAATTTCAACAATTGGTATTGCATAAAGTATTTTAGACTTGGATATATTGAATTTCATGTGCTACTAACATGTTTGTTATTCTTTGTTGAAATTCAATTTTTTTAAGTGTTAAGACCTTAAAGCATAATTTTATTTGGAATGCATTTATTGAGGGGAAACTTTGATTTTTCAAATGATTTTTAAAATATCAAATTTACTACTTACTCTCCAAAGTTATTTTGAACTTTAAAGATTAAAGTCTTTTTTATTTAACAAAAAGGGGGAGAAGTGTTAAGGTGTTAAAGGGGAGAAGTGTTAAGGTGTTAAAGGGGAGAAGTGTTAAAGTAAGGGGGGAGTAATTTCAAACTTGATTTCAAAATCTTAAAATTACTCAAATGTTTTGTTATATCAAAAAGGGGGAGATTGTTGAAAACATTTTGATGTTTCGATATAACAAATTAAGTTAAATGAATTTTAAGATTTTACAAAAGATTTTCTAAGTATATTCGATGTAATTATTCGAATATCAAAATATTACTCCAAGTGTTTCAAAGTTCATTTTAATCCTTACTAAAGTGTAAAATTGTGTTTTATACTTAAACTTTTTTTAAAACAATTTTACAAAGTATTTCGAACCGTTTCAAAGCCAAGAAAAATCAGATTGTCCAGGGGTACAGATTCACCCCAGGGGGTACAGATTCCCCCCAGGGGATACCGATTCCCCCCTGTCTAACGGTCAAAAACAGATTGCACTTAGGGAACCGATTCCCCATGGGGGGGTACCGATTCCTCCCACGCTCCAAGCTGTTTTATTAATTATTTCTCATCTCCAAACGACTCCAAAACATCCCCAACGGCTATATACAACTTCAAACACATTCCAAGCTATAAATACAACCTAAGGACACTTGAAGATGCAAGAGAACAACCATCCAAGCAATCAAACACAAGAGAAGAGTTTTTCATTTTTATTTCATATTTCTCTTGTAAATATTTTGTTCTTGTGAGCTCAATCTTGTAAACACCTACCTTAGAGAGGTTTTCTTGTTTACATCTTTTATCCTTTTGTAAAGGGGAAAGGTTCTAGCTTAGCTCGTGTAAAAGCTAGGGAAAGGTTCTAGTTTAGCCCGAAAAAACTAGGGAGTTTGTAAGGTTACTCTTTATCCTCAAAAGAAAGAACAAATTAGTGAATTTGTTGGAAAATCCTTGGTGAGGAGCTAAGGTAGTGGACGTAGACTTTAGTTGAGAAAGTCGAACCACTATAAATCGCTGTGCAATTCTCTATCTTTCAATCTCCTTACTCCCTAAACACAAAACCGTTCCGACCCCTATTTGCAAACCATTCCGGTTATCGATTCGAGCTTCCGAAAATCCCAACAATTTTCTTTAAAAATTTTAATTTCATAAAATTTATATAATTTTTTTACAAAATTGAAAAGATAAATAGGTTTAATGAAATGGTAAAATTTTATTTTAACCCCTAAACTTCATATAAAATTCTAATTATGGATTTTTTTGTAAATCTAAAATAGTTTAAGTATAAATTTGTAATTTAACATTCGTAGATTTTTTTTATTCAACGACAGAAGGATGATATTTTTGAAAGAAATTTTTTTAAGGGCATTTTAATTTAAAACGCCGGTAATCTAACAATACCTAAGGAATGTGTAATCACATTCCCGATAATATACCCCAAAATACTACTGTTGGTAATAAAAATTACCGGGGCTGAGAATGTTGGCCAACCAAACGGGGGAATAAGATTCATTCCCTCAGATTACCTGAATCAAACACCCCCTTAGCTCTATCTCGATTTACTTTGTTTCGCTTCAGTGATAAAGTTGAGGAAAAAAAACGACAAGAGTGAGCATATTGAAGTATTAGCTGTGAGCTGGCAAACAATATGGTTGTGGTGAGCTGGCAAAACGGTAATGGGTCCCATTCAGTGAAATCATCAATGAAGAATATACTCCTTTATAATTTATAGTTTCATCTTTATGTATTTGTAAAACTTTCGACATGCCCTGCAAATTCTGGCTTCACACCCGTTTGCCACCCTACTGTTTTCTCCACTGTCTAGTAATCAAACACGGATGGGTTGGAATGGACGAAATTAGCTCGTTTGAAAGCAAAACGGATTGATATGTACCAATCTTTGGAGCCAAATGAACCCACTCGATTGAGTAGCTCCACATCTTCCATTTAACATGGTATTGTTGCTTTTTTTTTTGTTTCATTTGTGTACTGTTTTCTCTTCGATGGCATACAACTAACGACAAGCTAAAAAACAAAACAAACACAACTGAAAACAAGGCCAAAAACAATGGATTGCATCCAGGAAACCGGGGCATATGCATTGCTATCCAATTCAAATAATATAGAGCTTGAAGACCCCATTTATTGTCATATTAAATTACAGAAGAGCTACCTTATAGTCCAGAGGGTGGAATCTCTCTTGCTTGATTTTATACTGAGAAAACTCTGACTTATGGATACTCAGAAAGAATTTCAAATTATATTACCAAGAACGGAATTGAGCTGTGATGAAATTTAATGAATCGAATTGAGTTTTGATATCTACAGAACATTCCGACATTGATGTTTGAAACATTGTTGATGGATTTGCATTTCAAGGAATATATGATGGCAATATGAAAAGAAAACATAAATTCTTATACCTAATTCAATAATATTGAAACCATGTGCACGAAAAGCAAGCATATGCATGGGCTTCCAACCATCTTTGAAGGAGTGGAATATGTTAAGCAATGGCTTTTCTCATCACATGGGGATGGGCCAATGTTGCAATTATTAATCTTTGGGGTCTTTTGGTCAAAAGGGTCTCCATGCTTTCTGTCTTCAGCAGCTTTTGTTTTGGCTCTGTTTTTGCATGAGAGAATTGCAATAATAATTAGGGTAAACTACCTATTTGGTATACTTATTTTCTATTTTTGTTTTAATCATCCAGAAAAAATTTAAATCATATTTAACCTTTTTTTTTCAATGATTAAACTTAGCAATAGGGTACTAAAATAGTCAAATTTAATAACATGGTATTAAAATAAAAATAAAACTTAAAGATAAGTATAATTTAAAGAAAAATAATTAGGTGACTACAAATGGATGAATACACATAGCTAGTTTACCCTGATAGTTTTAGAGGCTAAATTATGCTTTATCCTTTGCATTTTAACTGACATGCATGATAATTCTTTTATGGAAAGTGTTAAATGTAGAAAGAAGATAGAAGGTAAAAAGCCCTAATGCTAAATTGGAACCCATGAAACAAGATCAATCAAAGATTGTAGCACCCCCCAAAGATGGAAATCTAGTTCAGATTCACTCTTTTTCTTTTTTTGCCGGGGGGGGGGGGAACTAGTTTTATCTAGAACACTAATGCAAGGCTAACAAGGCTTGGGTGCTAAGCAAATTTGGTACAGCTTTAACTGTAATCTAATCAACTTCTGTTATCAAAAAGCTTTTCTCATTTTGTTTTAATTTAAAGGTTAATTATGTTTTTCACTTTAATGGCAGATTCCAAATCAACTAACAATCAAACAAGGAACTAGACACCATAACCACATCAATATCCCACTTAGCTTCGTTGCATTAGAAGATCCTAACTTCCCACTGAAGAGAATTAAAGATCACAGATTTTCTTCTCTGTTTCCTTCAATGTGCTTCATTTATCGAAAAAGAAAATCATTTACTTGCATGCAAATGCACTCTGGTAGGTAGGAGTTCAAGTTTGAGGTTTGAAGTTGAAAATTTTGAAGTTTGAGGTAAATATGGCTACTAAAAAGAGTTGAAATTTGTTGCTGCAATTCAATTTTGTTTACTGGTTCTCTGCATTTGGAATTTGGGTTTAAATTCTTATTGGATTATATGTTTTCTTTCAGGTTCAAGTTTAGATAAAACCAGATATTTGCAGATGTTTGGAATCCAAATCTGGGGAAAACATCAAAAAATTCCTTGAAGAATGCCCTTCAATCCCAAGGTAAAAGCTTCTTATTTCTCAAACTATCTTAATTGTTATTTCATTTTTTAAATGATTATTCAAAAAAAATATTATTTTTAAATTGTGTGACAATCTGACTTTGACAGTCTGTAAATGGAAGACCAGCTTAGAACAGTCCAAAACCTTGAATTAATTAAACTCACCTTAAATAGTCTCGCCGTATGCTTGTTGACGTAGAGAATTATTGTATTGTAGCCGATCACAAAGGATACGATTTTTGTTTCCTTTGGCCATTTCTGAATACAGATTCCACATAAAGACAGGGCGGTTTTGTTTCTGGGTTGAGACAATTTACTGAAGAAAAAAATGTTGGGTGGATTTAGCACTAAACAATGATCAGTTTGTTGATTGCAGGCAATGATCGCACGTTCCTAAAAGTTTGGTGGTCCTTGTGCCAATAGAAGCCTCATTGTCAAACCATTTGAATGGAGAATAATAAGTGGTAGGGGAGCTGAGATAAAGAAGCATTTTTTTATATTTCATGGTATTGTTTCTAGCAATTTGCTTTTGGAGAAGGAAGCTCGGAGATGGGGACTGACGGTGGAGATGAGCAAATGCAAGAGCCAGCAAACTGTGAGGAGAGGATTTTTGTTTCGGTTCGTTTGCGGCCTCTCAATGGGAAGGAAATCGCTCGGCACGATGTATCGGACTGGGAATGCATCAATGATAACACTATCATATACCGGAACAGCCTTTCGGTTTCCGAGAGATCCTTGTACCCAACTGCCTATACATTTGGTAAGAGTTTCGTATTTCAGTTTATGTATATTTGATTGCTGTCCTCAGTCTCTCCTCACCTTTGCTGTCCATAGTAGTATTTTGAAGTTCTTTTCCTATATACAATTTGTCACAAACTATAAGTCTAACGTGATGATTTTATAGCCACTTTTCGGACTATATCGTGTCTTAATCTCGGGCATAGAATGTTGCTTGCCTAACGTGATGATTCTTGTTAGTGAAATTTATTTGCATTTTATCATGCATGAAGTTGACATCAGTAGTTTCTCATTGATTTGTCCTTCTTTCCGATTCACGGGTGTGCTGCTGATTTCAGACAGAGATTTCAGCTCTGATTGCCCAAACCAGCAGGTGTATGAAGCAGGAGCAAAGGAAGTTGCTCTTTCAGTTGTTAGCGGTATAAACGATAAGGGCGTCCGTTTCCTTTCCTTTTTTTTTTTTTTGGATAATTCAGATTTTATTACCCAAAATCACGGTTCAGTTACAACCAATCAACAACAAAAGAATAAAAAATAAGCAGCCTATACAAAAAATGATTGGTTAGACTATACCAAACATTACAAAGCTTTAAGTTAGTACCATCAAGTCTATTAATATTAGTCCCCTAAGACGGATTCCATCGTCTTTAACATCTTTGACCAAGCATTCGACCGTTCTATACCGTCCTTGGAACATTCTCTGATTTCTTTCCTGCACAAAGAGTAGATAAAAGCAGTCCAAGAAATTTTCAAAATGGTAGTAAGCAGGGACCTCCCTTTCCATAATGAACATGCCTTTGAAACTATTTCTTCCTATGATAAGGATGAGGTCTTCATCCCATTAAGATTCAAAATAGAACTCCAGAGTCCCACTGCCAGAGAACATTGCGAGAAGAGGTGATCCGTCTCTTGAGAGTTGCTGCAATTAACACAGATTTTCAGTGCAAATTCCCATTCTAAGGAGTCGGTCTCTAGTAGGCAACTTGTTCATTAAAGCCATCCAAGCAATCAAACTATACTTTTGAATATGCAATGGGAACCAAATAAGTTTATGCCATGAAACTTTTTGCCTTTTGAAACGAATCAAGTCCCATATTTCCTTAACATGCAGAGAACCGGCTGAAAAAATTGGAAGAGCTTCAGTCCTTGTTTTTAAAATTCTGTTGATACTCCAACTAACATTTGCACCAGCTTGGAAGTGCCAAAAGTCCTTGTTTCCTTTCCTTTTGGATACCTCTATAAGGCTCTTTTTTGACTCCCCATAATTTACTGGTCTCCTTTGCCAAATATTTTTCAGCATGTGTTTTTGCATACGGACAAACAAGCAGCGGAAAGACGTATACGATGACCAGAATCACTGAGTATGCCATGACATATATTTATGACTACTCACAAAGGGTAATGAAGATGTAACATTTTTCCACTCACTTGTGGTTATACTATTCGATTGTATTCCTCTCTTTGACTAAAAACATACTGTATTTTTTTCTGTAGCATAAAGAACGAGAGTTTATCCTCAAGTTCTCGGCGTTGGATATTTACAATGAATCTGTCAGAGACCTCCTTAGTGCAGACAGCACACCCCTTAGACTTCTCGATGATCCGGAAGTAAGTTACATTGTCACATCACTTTTATTAGGAACTAGTTATTTTATGGACTGTCTCGCTAACGAATAGCTGATTTGATAGAGAGGGGACAGTTGTTGAGAAACTCACAGAAGAAACGCTGCAAACTGGAGTCATTTTAAAGAGCTTATACCTGTGTGTGAAGGTAAGAAAATGCCTTAACAAGTTTCCCTTTAACTCGATCATGACCGTGTATTTAAGCATGTCTCGATGCATATTGGCAACTCAAAGACAAATAGGAGAGACTTCTCTTAATGAGACAAGCTCTAGATATTGAGAGTGGTATTTGCATGTAAAAAACCTTTAGATTGTTCACTCAACAATGATATAATACTACTACTATATTTTACTGATTCATCTTTTGTATTCTTGTTACTATGTCACTCACAGACGATCGAAAGTTTGCGCGAGAATTTTTAGGCAATCACATAGGAGGCTGTCATTTCTTTGGAGTGTATCTCCCATGATAATAAAATGGTGGAAAATGGACAAGTTCTTAACCCCGCTTCTGTTGAAAGTCAGCAATTTTACAATTGATTTCAAAACTTTCGGTGGAAAGTGTGCATATTAAATGCGCCGAATTAATTAGTCAAATTGGGATGGTTGGGCTGCAGATTTTGTTGAAAATGTGAAAGGGTAAAATACCAAATTTAGTCACTTTACTTTTAGGGTATTTACAAGATTAGTCCTTAAGTTTCAACTATAAATACCCTAGCTCATTTAGCTTCAAAACCATCCCAAAGCATTCTAGCTTTCTTCCAATACTAGAGAGAATTTAGAGAGTTTCTTGAGAGTTATTTTCTCTTTTTTATCAAGAGAGAATTATCATTGTTTTCTCCTTGGTAGATCGAGAGAAGTTGTAATTCCTATTTTCTCATAGTGAAATTCTTCTATTGTTGCCCGTGGTTTTTACCATATATTATTTAGGGGTTTTCCACGTAAATTTTGTGTCTCTTTTATCTTCAATTTTTATTTTCTCAAATTATCAGTTGCGTTTTTGCTCTATCCGATAGCCGTCTTCCGCAACAATTAGTATCAGAGCCAGATTAGAGTGTGTAATATCTGCTTATTGTCTTTGTGATTGCCACCAAAAGGTGGATCTTCCAATATAAGAAAGTAAGAAGTTATTACCCATTCTTTGAAGGTTCTAGAGAACTATTCACGATAGTGAAATAGTAGGAGCTATCCGTAAAAGAAGCTATGGCAACGAAATTTGATATTGAAAAATTCAATGGGAGAAATTTCTCATTGTGGAAATTAAAGATGAAGGCCATCCTGAGGAAAGACGATTGTCTACCAGCTATCAGTGAAAGGCCGGTAGATTTCACAGATGACAACAAATGGATCGAAATGGACGGGAATGCTATGACAAACTTTCATCTAGCATTAGCAGATGAAGTATTGTCAAACATCGAGGAGAAGAAGACAGCTAAGGAGATATGGGATCATCTCACCAAATTGTACAAGGCCACATCGTTGTACAATAAAATTTTCCTTAAGAGAAAATTGTACACTCTCCGTATGCCAGAATCTACTTCAGTGACGGAGCACTTAAATACACTGAGCACTTTATTTTCTCAGCTTACATCCTTAGGCTGTAAAATAGGAGAACAAGAACGTGCTGAACTTCTACTTCAAAGTCTACCAGATTCGTATGATCAACTCATCATCAACTTGACAAACAATAATGGCACTAGTCTAGTCTTCGATGACGTTGCAGCTGTTGTTCTACAAGAAGAAAATCGGCGCAAGAACAAGGAAGACAGACAAGTAAATCTGCAACAAGCAAAAGCATTGACAACGATGACAACGATGAGAGGGAGATCAACAGAACGTGGACAAAGCAGCAGTCACAAACATGGTAGATCGAAGTCGATGAGCAAGAAAAATTTTAAAGTGCTACAACTGTGGAAAGAAAGGTCACTTGAAGAAGGATTGTTGGAGTCTAAATAAAAACTCCAACCCACAAGGCAATACCGCAAACACTTCAGATGATGGAGATGCTCTATGTTGTGAAGCGTCAACCACCGTGGAAGGCAGAAAAAGATTTGTAGATATATGGCTTATTGATTCGGGAGCAACATATCTCATGACCTCAAGAAGAGAATGGTTCCATCATTATGAACCTGTCTCAAGAGGATCTGTGTATAGTTGCAATGATCATGCCTTAGAGATCATTGGCATGGGAACCATCAAATTGAAGATGTATGATGGAACAATTAAAGTTGTTCGAGATGTGCGGCACGTGAAAGGCCTGAAGAAAAATTTATTATCCTACGGATTGTTGGATAATAATGCAAGCAAGATTGAAACACGGAAAGGAATCATGAAGGTGTTCCGTGAAGCGCTTGTGGTACTGAAAAGGAGAAAAGATAGCAACAAACTTGTACATACTAAAGGGAGAGACTTTGTTAGAAACAGAAGCCTCTGTTGCCTCATGTAGTTCAGATTCTGCAATGCTATGGCATTAGAAACTTGGACACATGTCAGAACAAGGAATGAAAGTCCTTGTGGAGCAAAAACTACTTCCAGTCTTAATAAATGTATCACTTACTTTGTGTGAGATTGCATAACAAGTAAGCAGCACCAGTTGAAATTCAATACGTCAAATTCTAGAGGCAAAATTGTTCTAGAATTGGTTCATTCTGACGTATGGCAAGCACCAGTTACATCCCTAGGTGGAGCAAAATATTTTGTCTCATTTATTGATGACTACTCCAGGAGATGTTGGGTGTACCCTATTAAGAAGAAGTCAGATGTGTTTTCAACTTTCAAAAACTTCAAAGCGTGGGTGGAACTTGATTCTGGAAATAAGATCAAGTGTTTTAGAACAGATAATGGAGGAGAATACACAAGTAAAGAATTTGATGACTTTTGCATGAAAGAAGGCATCAAAAGACAATTCACAGTGGAGAACACTCCTCAACAAAATGGGGTGGCAGAGCGGATGAACAGAACCTTGTTAGAAAGAACAGAAGCAATGTTGAGGGATGCAGGCCTAGAAAAATCTTTCTAGACAGAAGCAGTCAATACCGCCAATTATTTTGTGAATCGAGCTCCATCAACTGTAATAGAGCTGAAGACACCAATGGAGATGTGGACTGGTAAACCAGCTGATTATTCAAACCTTCATATATTTGGAAGTATTGTGTACGTGATGTACAACTCCCAAGAAATCTCAAAGTTGGATCCAAAATCTAGGAAATACAAATTCTTGGGGTGTGCTGATGGAGTCAAGGGGTATCACTTGTGGGATCTCACTGCCCGCAAAGTGATCATCAGGCAGAGATGTTATCTTTGTAGAAGATAAACTAAAAAGAAAAGAAGAAGATGGTAGCGCTGAAAAGTCAGAGACTACACAGATACGTGTGGAAAAGGAGGTTGAACAAGGAGATTCTTCTGAAGCAGAACCAGATCATGATGAACAAGAACCAGAAAGTTCTGAAGCTCCAATAACTCGTCAATCAGATCGTGTGAGATGACGTCTCAACTGGAACTTGGATTATATTATAGAAGGTAATGTTACATACTGTCTTTTAACAGAGGACGGTGAGCCATCAACATACCAGGAGGCAATAAACAACTCAGATGCTTCACTGTGGATGATGACGATGCAAGAAGAAATTGAAGCCCTTCATAAAAATAATACATGAGACCTTGTGCCACTACCACAAGGAAAGAAGCCAATTAGTAACAAATGGGTCTTCAAAATCAAGCGAAATGGTGACGATCAAGTGGAGAGGTATCGTGCAAGACTGGTGGTAAAAGGATATGCTCAAAAAGAAGGTATTGATTTCAATGAAATATTTTCTCCTGTGGTTCGACTAACAACAGTTCGAGTAGTTTTGGCAATGTGTGCTACATTGAACTTACATCTAGAGCAACTAGATGTTAAAACAACTTTTCTTCATGGAAATCTTGAAGAAGAGATTTACATGCTCCAGCCTGAAGGTTTTGAAGAAAAAGAAAATAAGAACTTGGTTTGCAGGTTGAACAAATCTCTGTACGGTCTAAAGCAGGCGTCGAGGTGTTGGTATAAGAGATTTGATTCATTCATTATGTTCCTTGGATACAACAGACTTAATGCAGACCCTTGTGCTTATTTCAAGAGGTCTGGTGATAACGATTTTTTTTATATTGTTGTTGTATGTGGATGACATGTTGGTTGCAGGACCCAACAAAGATCATATTGAAGAACTGAAGGCACAACTGGCTAGGGAATTTGAAATGAAGGACTTGAGATCAGCAAACAAGATTCTAGGGATGCAAATTCACCGAGACAGAAGTAATAGGAAGATTTGGCTTTCACAAAAGAATTACTTGAAGAAGATCTTGTCACGATTCAGCATGCAAGATTGTAAGCCAATTTCTACCCCTCTTCCTATTAACTTCAAATTATCCTCCAGTATGAGTCCTAGCAGTGAAGAAGAGAGGATGGAGATGTATCGAGTGTCGTATGCATCAACAGTGGGAAGTTTAATGTTCGCTATGATATGCACAAGACCAGACATTGCACAAGCAGTGGGAGTGGTTAGTCGGTACATGGTGAATCCAGACAAAGAGCATTGGAATACAGCAAAGAGGATCCTGAGATACATCAAAGGGACCTCAAATGTTGCATTATGTTACGGAGGATCAAACTTACTAATAAATGAGTATGTAGATTCTGACTATGCAGGGGATTTGGATAAAAGCAAATCTACTACAGGATATGTGTTCAAAGTTGCTGGTGGAACTGTAAGCTGGGTTTCAAAATTACAGTCAGTTGTGGCTACATCCACAACAGAGGCAGAATATGTAGCAGCTACACAAGCCAGTAAAGAATCAATTTGGTTGAAGATGCTATTGGAGGAGCTTGGGCACAATCAAGAGTATGTCTCTATGTTTTGTGACAGTCAAAGCGCCTTGCATCTAGCAAGGAATCCAGCATTTCATTCAAGGACAAAGCACATACGAGTTCAGTACCATTTCATTCGTGAAAAGGTGGAAGAAGGGACGGTAGATATGCAGAAGATTCATACCAAAGACAACATAGCAGATTTCATGACGAAGGTGATCAATGCTGATAAATTTACTTGGTGTCGATCCTCCTGTGGCCTGTGAGAGACGTAAGCAACGTGAAGGTAAAAGATAGAAAGAATAGTGTAAAGATATGATTGTTCCAATCTAATATTCAAGTGAGAGATTGTTGAAAGTCAGCAATTTTACAATTGCTTTCAAAACTTTCGGTGGAAAGTGTGCATATTAAATGCACCAAATTAATTAGTCAAATTGGGATGGTTGGGCTGCAGATTTTGTTGAAAATTTGAAAGGGTAAAATACCAAATTTAGTCACTTTACTTTTAGGGTATTTACAAGATTAGTCCTTAAGTTTCAACTATAAATACCCTAGCTCATTTAGCTTCAAAACCATCCCAAAG